GTATCAGTATATATAGTTAGTCAGAGTGAGAATCTTTCCCAATAACTGCTAGATTAAAAAATCTTCTGAAGATTCTCAGGATCATTGCCTTGCTCATCTTCTACATATAACTGTATGGCTTGACATGGTCATGTTTCCTAGCTCTTCTCCTTTCTCTCTCTTGATTAGTTAAGTCCTTGAGATCCTGCTTTCCTTTTACTTGTATTATATCTTTCTATTTGTATTTCTTCTTTTGAGTTTATATTAGGGAGACTATATGATATTTACACACGTGTGTCAGTAGATAATATTGAGCCCATGTGAATTTTTGAAAGAACTAACGAGCCTTGTCTTAAGCTTGTAACCTTAAGAATACAAATATTTTCCTATTTTCATTAAGACAAACTTGTACTTCTTTATAAATAGCAAAAAAATCTAATTATTAAGGCCTTAAACAGAAAATGTGCTTGTTTTGCTCTACTTAAAGATTCTCATTGTGGACAGTGTAAGGGTCATTGTGTAGTGTCAAAGTATTGAAGGAGCAAGTACCTCCTGTTTTTCTTCACTATGATTAGCATTTTTATGATTAAATACTCATCTCCCAAAATTATTTCTGTTCTACCTTCTTTTTGTCCTCTGAATAAAGACAAAATAGCAAAAGAAAGCATCAGCATGTTTTTGCTCACAACGTTTTGAGCTATCACTATCCTGCATGGTACATCTAGCGAAGGAGTGTCTCACAAACAGAAATGGACGCCCAGGAAGATGCGAGTTGCAGGAAATGAAGTTTGGGTCAATTAAACTGACTCTCCACTTTCTTCTAGCATGGCACTTCCAGGATTTGTTTGCCCAATTTTATAACGCCATCAATTATTATAGATTTATTCTGAATAAATAGGCTGGCAAGTAATTTATCCCAATATTGCACCAAATCATTCCTAGGCAAACAACGCTGAAACAGCTTTTACTTATGAGAACTTGGTTATCACCATAAGTGACTTGTTCGGGGCTGGGACAGAGACAACAAGTTCAACACTGAGATATGCTCTCCTCCTCCTGATGAAACACCCAGAGGTCGCAGGTATGGCCAAGGATGACAGTCATGTGAATCTCCAGAAAGTGCTTGGAAGATGTTGCTAGCGTCACTCATCTTGGGTCTTGGCAGAAGGCCACTAATGCTCTATCCCAGCAGCAGCCCTCGGGCCACAGGTAATGCTAGGACGAGCAGGCAGGGCTCAGCACATGAGGGGATGGTGCCGCAGAGAAGTGCAGACAGCGTAGCAATGAGAGAAGAAGATTCCACGGAGAGGAGCTCGGGCAGACATAGTCAGCATCAGTTAACTTGACTTTTAAAGGAGATAGTGTACCACAGATGAATAGTCAGGAAGCTTTCCTTATCCTAATTCTGTGTCTGCCATAGAGAAAAGGAAACTCTTTGCGCTGAAGCATAATAGAAAGAGCTTGCCTGAAATGATAGAAAACCTGATAAATATTTTTAAGCTAATGTTTATTATAAATATTTTGATTTAAGTAGAAGGTCCTCCCATAGAAATGTTACTATTCCACGTTTATTTCCTTAAAATTTTCATTTAACAAAGCAAGAATTTTAGAGGACCTAAGTAGTCATTATGAGGTTATCTTTTATGAACACTGCTATTAGAGAAATTTATTTTTAGGCCTGATGCAGTAGCACCAGCCTATATTCCTTGCACTGTGTTAGGTGGAGGCAAGAGGACCACCAGTTCAAGACTAGGCTGGGAGACAGCAAAACCGTGCTATGTGAGGACATGGCTTCGACCCCAAGTGTCACACAGGCACAAGTAGATAAATAAAAACACAAGAATAAAAGAAAGTTATCTTCAAAATTTTATTTTTACAGCAAGTATAAAACTTTTAATGTTCATTCCACTTCAGGATTCTTCTGATGTGATGATAACATATTTGTGGGTGATACTTGGGCTTTCCATGGTAGATGGAGACAGTAAATAGCCACTTTAGAGAGTATTTGAGGCACATAGAGGAGCATTAAAGATGATAACTGAGAGGAAAGGACAGAGTTGTAATTTAAGTATCAGAAGAAGAAGGTTGATAAAGAAAGAACAACCAGGCATGGCTCCACAACCTCCCTGTGGATTCTTCTTTGGGGATAAGAGGGGCCAGTGAAGGTGGAGAATCAGGCTGAGAAGGAGACTCCTGCTCTGCATTCAGCAATTGACTTCACTGCATCACTGGAAAACAGATGCTCACTCCTCAGAAAATTGCCTGGCAAGCCTTGTACTCAGAGATCCTGGACAGTGACAGAGAAATTCTGAGGAACAGGAAAGACAGGGCAGTTTGGACAAAGGTCTACCCCTTTCATTCATAGTCCCTGACTTCTTTTCTTCATCTTCCTTCCTACAAGTCAGCAGCCATAAATACAGTCCAGAGAGAGTGAAGAACTCTGATGTAAACACTCTCATTCTTTGACATCTTATAGAAATTCTCCCCAAGAATCCGGCACACTGGAGGAAATAAGAGTACCTTCTTAATACATGGGGTCATGGAATTTCAGGACACTAGGATTCAGGTGACAATCTAGAGGATAGACCAGGTTAAATATAAACAGTTGTGAACAGCACAGCACCAGAAACCTCAAGGGTATCTCTTATGTCATTATTAATAGCAAAGGGTGTTTTTAAGAACTTTAAATTTGAGAAAGAGCCACTCAATTTGACTCACAAGTGCATCCATTTGAGTGTCTCAAGCTAGTTCAGAGGAAGGCATGGGCTCCAGCACTTGTCAGAGCTCACAGAGGAAGATGAGAGTTACAGGCAGGTCGCTGGGTGCCAGGTGTAAAAAGCATACTTCACCACAGAGCAGGTGAATGACGAGGGCATGAAGGAAACTCCAGGAACAAGGAAGGGATGGGTAGTCTGAAGGCACCAGTCACCAGGCACTTATATATTCCTGAGCATCTAAAACATCTACCTGATTACTCATTGACAAATCTAATTTAAGAAATTGAAAAATATGGACTGCAATAAACCATATACTCAAAGAATACATCAAACATGGTCACATTTTTTTTGTCCACTGGGAACAATATTTACCTGGTTAGAAAGCAAGCAATTCCTGGTTCCGCCCCCCCCCCCCAAAAAAAAAGAAAAGAAAAAAAAGAAGAAGAAAAAGAAAAAAGAAAGCAAGCAATGAACATTGGAGTAGTCATCATTATTAGGTATCTGGCAAGTGACTAGGAGAAAACTTGTACATGGATGTATTTTTCTGTACCTGTTTGTGTTTAATATACTTCCAGAGTTGACATGTGTTTATATATGGAGTTTAGATAGAAGTGAAATTTCTCATTGTTCATACCAACAATTTGACAAATATTGTCTATAAAAAGGTGGACAAGGAGCAGTGAATCTCTGTTTGGAAATATGATTATAATTTTCAGAATCAGCTATTACAATTCTCAAAGTAGTCACACTTAAAAACTGGAATAAGGATAACTGTGCCACTGTTTACACATACAAATCCTGTACGTAAGTATAGATCAATTATAATTTAATTTAAAAGCCTACCTATTATTTTGAGGCTAGTTTAATATTTGATTTGTGTTTGTTGTTTTATAAAAACTGTAATTCCTTGTTTTTATTTTTCCTTTTATTTTTGAAACATTTAATTCACTTTATTTATATTAGATATGAGGCATGGCCCTTTGTTTCATGACAACTAATTTGTAGTAAAGTGCAATATTCCTACATGTCACATAATCCCTTGATAAGTCTAAATATCAGGGCATATAAATGATTTATAATGTTTTTGGGTCACTTTCATCACATTTCAAAAAGTCTTGAGTTGTTGTGACAGATGTACCACTCTCTTTTTTATTCTGACTTTTCTTCTTTGTGTCTTACCAGTTAAAGTCCAGGAAGAGATCGAGCGCGTGATTGGCAGGCACCGGAGCCCCTGCATGCAGGACAGGAGCCGCATGCCCTACACCGATGCTGTGCTGCATGAGGTCCAGAGGTACACTGACCTGCTTCCCACCAGCCTGCCCCACGCAGTGACCCGTGACCTTAAACTCAGAAACTACGTCATTCCCAAGGTAAGCTTTCTTCTATCGCTCACCTCAGTGTTGAACTTACAAAATTAAACATGGGCTTGCAAACTTCTACCAACAGAAACAAATACAAAAAAAAGTATTATATTTGGCTGCTAAACGCACTTTCGGTTGTTTCCTGTGGGGCTCTGAATCTTTCTAACATTTCTCAGTATCTGGACATATGCACCTCCCAAATTTGTTTTCAGCTTTCACAATATCTTGATTATTCTCTTATATTTACATTTCCATATGAATTTTAAAATTTTGGTTTCTTAAACTTCCAAAACACTTATATTTTTTAATCATGGTGACAGTAAGTTTATAGGGAAATTGGAAATAATTGAGAAAACTTAGATGATCCAAGTTAATGTATAAGGTTATTTTTGTACTTCTTGATTTCTATTTTTTTCTGTCTTGTGTTTTCAGTGCCAGAGTTTATAAATCTTTGTTTAAATTTTTACTGTGTAGTTAAGGTTTATTTTGGTAGAATTTTTAATAATGCCTTTACCATTTGTTTGTACCTGAGATATAGAAAGCAGATATTTGGTTATTGTGTTGATCTTTTGTTTACTGATTTTGTGAAATTTATTACTATTTGCAAATGTTCTTTTGTATATTTATTTGGACCTTCAACCTATGTGTTCTGCGATGTGAGTTAGTATTCCTTGTTTATATAAGTGAATTTCTTGTGTCAATTTCTCCATATTGTTTGATTTATTTTTTCTTGTTTTACTTCTTAAATTTTTTATTTTAAGGAGTGAAAAACAAAAATGAAGCAAAAACAAAGATAGAAACAGAGTAACATACAGCAATATGTACAGTACAGAATTTCAAAGCATGAATAAAAAATGAACAATAGTTTCTATATTATGTATTTTTATCATTGAACCTATTGCCCATATTAACAGATATAGGTATGCAAGATTGATCAAATAATTAAACATTAACCCTGTACCGCAGTTTGTAGACACTTTGTCAGTGTCAGCCATGTGGATGAGTCATGGCCATTGCTTGGCCAATTTGCTCTCTGTGAAAGCCTGAGAAAATGTTTTCTCTCCATGTGACTCTCCTTAGGCACACACTACATCATCGATCACCTTCCTCTTTGGCCCCCTAATCTCTTTGATCAGAAAATTTGGATCATATAGTATTTAGATGCCAATGGAATACCCATCTCTGACAGGACTAAAAGAAAAAAGGGATACAAAGGAAGAACTATTTTGTATCTGTATATACAGAACACTTAGGATAGATATACAGCTACCTTCACTGAATTCAGAGAAGAAAGATTTGTACTAATAGTGTTTACACAGGATATCTTGTCTACATCTTGTACTATGGATAACCACTAAGAAGATAACAATGTACAATGTGTTAATTATTGAAACTGTCCTATTAATCAGTTTTGAAACTGTCTCATTGCTGTTTCTCAATAAAATTTAAAAAAGAAAGGAAAAAAAGAAAAGAAAATTTGGGACATCACTGAGTTACATGATGTTACAGTATAGGTTCTCCTATGTTCTGAGACCTCATTTGACCTTGAAAGGCTAGGGACAAACTGTTGGCTGTCCTTGCAACCCTTCTTTTTCTCTAATTTTTTATCTGCAGGTTGTTAACCCTCCCAAAGAGATGCTTATTATTTTTACCTTACAACACAGGCAGTTGAGCTTAACTTCACTATCTGTCTGAATATCAAACATCTTAGACATAACATGGAACAGGTATTTTCCATCAAGTATTGATATGTTGAACTTACGTATTAACTCACGATTGACAGGTTATTTACCTGCTGTTTTTTACTCCTTTTTCTCCTGTGTTGAATTGTTTGCCCTATTCAGTGAGTTCCTTCTGTGCTTGTTCATGGAGTTCAAAACATTTTGGTCCCTCTCTAGAGCATCTTTTAGTAGTCTGTGTGGGGTTGGCTTTGTCACCATGAAATTCTTTATTTTTTTTTAAATATTTATTTATTTTTATTTATTACATTTATTTATTTATTGTGTGTGTGTGTGTGTGTGTGTGTGTGTGTGTGTGTGTGTGTGTGTGTGTGTGTGATTGTGTGTGTGTGTGTGTGTGTGTGTGTGTGGCCAGCTCAGCCCACCAGGGGGTGGGGCTGGCTGGCATGTGGTGCTGGGGATCGAACCGCGGTCCCTGTGCTTTGCCAAGCTTGTTTCAAGTAGGTGCTTTAGACCACTGAGCCATCTCTCCAGCCCTGAAATTCTTTAGTTGTTCTTTGTCATGGAAGTATTTCTCTTCTCTATCAAACTTTAAAGAGAGTTTTGCAGGATATAGTAGTCTGGGCTGGAATTTGTTTTCATAGAGGACTTGAAGTACTCTGCTTCATGCTCTTCTTGCCTTCATGGTTTGTGAAGAGAAGTCTGCTATAATTCTGATAGGTTTTCCTTTAAATTTGATCTTTTTTTTCAGTATATTGTTCTTGTGCTGGATTTATGGGATCTTTAGTATTATATGTCTCGGTGTGTTTTTAATTGGGTTGAAGTTATTTGGAGTTCTGTATGCTTCAGATACCTGAATGTCAGATTGTTTCCTCGTATGTGGTGAGTTTTCTGCTATTACTTCTGCCCATATTCTTTTTATATCATTTGTATTGACTCCTTTTTTCTTCTTGATGCCAATTAGTCTCATGTTCATCTTCACATCATCTTGCAGGTAATGAATTATTTTTTCCTGTATCCTAGTTGTTTTTAAGAGATCTTTTCTTACCTTTTCACTAGCTGCAACAGCATCTTCAAGATGTGAAACTCTATCTTCACTTTCACTCAAACAGTTTTGCAAGCTTGTGACTGAGATTTTAAGTTCCTCTATATCTATTTGAATCTGCTTCATGTGATCTATTTCTTTCCTGCATTTTTCATTCAAGGATCCATTGTTTTTCTAATTTCCTCTATTTTTTCACCAGTGTCTTCTTGAGAAGCAGTTATTAATTCTTTTATTACCAAGATTATTTCTGATCTGATTTCCTCCCTATGTTTCTGCGTTTGATTCTGTACTTCAGACACTATTAATTCAGAGATTTGTGTTTTGTTTTTTTTTAATTTCAGAGGTTATTTCTGGTCCGAGTTGCTCTATACCTTTTTGCTGTTGTTTCTTTACTTTAGACGCTAATGATTCAAACATTTCAGCTGTGTGATTCCCAATTTCTTCCGTGCTAGTGTCCTCTGCACTTGCTCTGGGTGGACTTGGGGCCTGAGACTACATTTTGCTCCTTCTCTTTGTCATTTTGTATAGATAACACTGTCCTCTGACCTTTGGCATAGAGCTTTAGTGCAGTCATAACCTTAGCACCTATGGAAATTCGAGTGCAGACCTATGAAGTTTAAATTTATTCAGTTGTGCCTGACTTGGACTTGGCTGCTGTGCTCAGCTCCTTCCTGCTGCAGCCCTTGCACATGAACCTGTTGTGCCCCTCTGGCAAGATGTTCTGCTCCCAACTTTTTTCCAAAGCTCGGTTTCCCAGGGGATCCCAGCAATGGCGAGAGGCAGGAAGATGTCCAAGCCCGGCTAGGTGGAGGCAGCGGCGGTGGCGGCCCCGGGCTGGAGATGGTGGAGCGGAGGGGCCCAGGGAGGCCCCGCACCGACACGTACTCGCTGGGCAGTCGAAGATCTTTTCCTACATGAGCCCAAACAAGTGCTCTGGAATGCGTTCCCCCCTTCGGGAAGAGAACTCAGTTGCACATCATGAAGGCAAATGCCAGGAGAAACCATTAGCTGGGATCTACAGGAAGCGAGAAGAGAAATGCTGGGAATGCAATACGAAGTGCTGTAAAGGCTGAGGAGCAGAAACTCAAAGACACCCGGAAGGGTCCCCGGGCCCCTTTCCCGAATCAAAAATCTGAAGCAGCAGAATCTCCAAAAACTCCAACTTCGTCTTGTGATTCTACCAATGCAGCCATCACTAAGCAAGCCCTGACAGAGCCTCTCAAGAGCAAATAGGCATCTCAGAAAAAAGCTCAAGGGTGCTGGGGGCAGGGGGGAGCTCAAGGGAAAACACAACCGAGTCGCAAACCCACAGACTTCTACCCGGCTGGAGAAGTTTCAGGAAGCGCAAAGCTGAGTTGCAGTCGGAAGAAAGGAAAGGAATGGGTGAGTTGATCCACAGCGGGAAGGAGGAAGGCATCAAGATTGACCTCATCCATGGCAAATGCAGGGGTGTGATTGCCAACAAGCAGTTGTCCCGGGGTGACTTCGTGGTAGATTACCACGGGGACCTCATTGAAATCACTGACCCCAAGAAGCGAGAGGCTCTGTGCACACAAGACCCTTCCACGGCTGCTACATATACTACTTCCAGTATCGCAGCAAAACCTACTGCGTGGATGTCACAAGGGAGACGAACCGCCCGGGCTGGCTGATGGACCTCAGCAAGTGCCGGAACTGCCAGACCACGCTGCAAGGCATCGAAGGCGTGCCTACCTCACCCTCATCGTCTCCCGTGACATTGCAGCCAGGGAGGAGCTGCTCTGTGACTACGGGGACCGCAGCAAGGCGTCCATCGAGGCCTACCTGTGGCTGAAGCACTGACCGCCCGCCTGCCCACGCTCTTCAAGGACAAAGTGCCCTCAAAGGGAACTGAGGTGTTTTTGTTTTTCTTTTTACACACTTAATCCTAGCAAATTACTTCAGATGGTGTTTAAAAAAAGAAAAAGTATATTAAGATCCTTTTCACTATAGTATTTAAATATCTGTTACAGGTTTCCAAGGTGGACTTGAGCGAATGGCCTTATATCACCAAAACTTTTATATCCTAGTTGATTTTGTACCTTTTTTGAATACAAGTCGAACATTTGTGCTTCCGTGCATGCAGTCAAAGACTCAGCACAGGTTTTAGAGGAGAGAGTCAAATATGAACTAGGAAGCCGGGCGAGAGCCTCCTGCCTCGGCCTCAGAGCCAGGACCCGCCCCACCCCATGCCCAAGGACAGGTGAGGCCAGG